ATATTTTTTTAAAAAAAAAACTCATGACAGATAAAAGTAACATACATTCAAGTTTGCATTCGACTTTCCATGCTAGAAGTGAGTATATCGTAACTCCCTTAGCTTGTTTCCAAAGAAATTGCACAAGACGTGATTTTCACAAGTCACCCACCGTGTTTTGGGCGGGTCTAGCGAAACGCAAAATTGCAAGAACTAAGGGAATAGAGGCATATGATTTAGAATGGTAAGATAGTAATCTCAGCCCATTAGAAGAGGAGCTATGGTAAGCAGAGGGGCACAGGCTTGGCACTGGAACATCTGCTTGGCATGCAAAAGGTCCCAGGTTCAATCCCAGGCATCTCAAGCTAAATGGATTAGGTGGTAGGCGATGTGAAAGACCCCTGCTTGACACCCTGAGGAGCCCCTGGCAGTCCATTTAAACAAGGCAGACGTTCATGGACCCGTGGTCTGATTCAGTATAAAGCAGCTTCCTCTGTGTGCATGTATGTGTGTTTGTGGTACACAGACAGAATTCTTGGGTTGAAGATAAGGTGCAAAATGACTTCCTCTGAAGGTAGAAGGCCTCATGGTATCATTGGTAGGGGGCTCGTATTGATGTCTTTCTCCTCCTCATTACAGTTATCTGTTTGAAATGTTTTTTTTTCCCTTGTGGGACCTCTAACCCCCTCACCAAGCATCACATTTGCAATCCTTCCTCACAGCTGTGTACTGATAAAAGGGGGACGTGAAAAACCTCTATCTGTCCCACCACCTTTTGCTCATAATTCACAACATCCAAACAATTATTTCCTGTAGATTATATCATGCATAGCCCAGGGTACAAAACCATTAAACACAATAAACTAGAGAAAACAGTTCAGCCCAGTTTTACTAGAAGGATTTTGCTGGAGCTGGTTTGGGGGAAATGTCCAAAATCAGTGAGCTTTAGCAATGCAGTCTTGATTTCTTTGTTTCTTATGCTATAGATGAATGGATTCAGCAATGGAGGTAATATAGCATAAATCAAGGCACAAATTACATTCATCTCAGAAGAAGTGTCACCGGGAGGCCTCACATAGGCAAACGTTCCAGTGAAGAGAAACAGAGACACCACAGTGAGGTGGGGAATGCAAGTGGAGAGGGCTTTTTTGCGACTGTTCACAGAAGGCATCCTCAAAACCGTTGCAAAGATCTTCATGTAAGTTATAACAATGTAGATAAAACATCCTCCAAATAAGCCACCGCTAAACAGAAGAATTCCGTTTTCAGTTAGATATAAGTCTGAGCAGGAAAGCTCTACTATCTGTGGAACTTCACAGAAGAACTGATTGATTATATTAGAGCAGAAGGTGATGGCAAAAGTGCCACCGGTGTGTAATGTGGCATAAAGTATACCGGCAACCCATGCACTGGCTGCCATCCGAATGCAGGCTCCTTCATGCATGATTGTCTCATATTGCAATGGAGTGCAGATAGCAACATGCCGATCATGTGCCATCACTGTTAGGATGGCAAAATCTGACCCTGCAAATAGGACATGGCAGAAAACTTGAGCCACACATCCTGAATAAGAAATGGACCTGCTATTTATGAGGAGATTCACCATCGCTTTAGGTAACGTGACAGAAATTGAGCCAAGATCCAGAATGGCCAAGTTCATGAGGAAGAAGTACATGGGGGTGTGCAGGTGATGATCAAGCACCACAGCCGTGG